TACGAAAAGGAATTAAAAGGATATTCAATCGAATATTACGATGGATCATTTTGTTTAGTCCTCAATGGGTTATTGGTTCTAAACATTAAACAAGATATAACTATATAGCCATAAAATTTCACTTCTTCTTGCAATTCTTGAATTGTGTGAGACATCGCGTTTTATGAGTCTTTTTTTTTTTTATTAATAGATCACTGCTGTGCGGTATATTTATTGTTTAAAAATTACTGATATTGAAAGTATCAGCGTTAAAAGATTTATTGAAATAAAAAAGAATTTTTATCCTACAGTTACAGAAATGAATGATCGCACCTTTTGCTGCGGATTAATGAAATCGCTAGATAATTCTGTTTGATTTTTCACGAGGGAAATATGTATTCTTAAAGATTTGTAACAAAGTCAAAGTTAAGTTACGTTAAACTTGATCCGATAATACTGAACGTTTGACGAATCGAGTGCCTTCAGTTACGCGTCTTTACGTTACAGATGTGTTCGACTGCGACCTACAATTCGCGATTACAAGAATTACCGTTAAAATCGTTTCAATTCTTTATGAAAATCAGGCTGAGAAATATAATCTTCGCGGTTTTGTGTCGTCGAACGGTATCAACACGCACGCTCGTGACCCACTTATGCATATAAGTACGTCGGGTGCGCCGCTCTTTACTTTGCTTTTATTTAATAAGGTGTACCTATATGTATTTAAATGCCATACTAATTATTGTAAATACCGCGAATAAACGTGTATCTATATCGATATATATATATAAATATAAATATTCTATGTATACTTATATAAATATATATAAATATAAATATATAAATTGCCGATACCGAAACATTCGACAACGAAGTAACTCCTCGCGTTGATCTCATCGGCTCGAGTTGTATTTCTAATTAAATAAATTAAACAGGAGCGAGCTTCAAACGCGAACGAAATAAATAAAATTAACAAAAGGTTTCTCTTCATTCGAAGCTTCACTGAACCGTCCTGCAACTTCCGCTTCACCAACTGTCCCAGTTAAGAAAGGCGTCGAAGAAAGGGAATTAATTTCTAATCGTCGATGGAAACACTTTGCTACGATAATTACCGTTTCGATTGATTTAATAAAATGTTTATTACTCAAAACCGTGAAAATGATGGTGATTTATTTCGCGCGAGTTGCGAATGATTTCTTATTAGTCCCCCCTCTATCAATCGATTTGCTGACAGCAAATTTTCAAGTTGGATGAAACATGTTGTTTAAATGTCATTTATTTGAGAATTATATCGATTCACTGTCACTGATACGAGAAAGGAAAATCGTAACAGCAATGACGAAGACTGTCGGGTTCGATCAAGTTCCGAGAGAAAAAAAAATGAAATCTGACGGAGCAACCATTTGGAATAAAACCATTAGTCCGACAATGGAGTTTCCGTGACGTTCCAGTATAAAAATTCGATAGCATCTAAACTGATTACGCGATAGTTGCTTTCAACTTTTTCATCTGATTGCGTGCAACATGTGCCTCCTACGCGCTGATCTTTCGCTCCGATGACTTTCAATTGAGCCAATGACTTTTGAACGCTCCAAGCAACAGCAAAAGAACACAAAAAATAAAGGCAACAGTAAAAAATTACTGCACACCACCGATTCGCGTTAATGTTTCGTTTTGAACACGATCGGCCGTATCACTTTTGCCAGCCATCCAGCTTTGCAGCCGTTTAAAAGACAACGTTCCTCGATAATTAGCGAGGAAGAGAGACGAGAACAATGGTAATAACCAGATTTATAAATCCACCTAACAATAGACTCTTTGTAGCGCTAGACTAATAAGAGAAAAATAAAGCAACGCATGGAGAAAGAACAGAGATGAGAAAGAAATAGAGAGATGGAGGAGCAGGAGAGAGCAAAAGAGCTCGGAACCGCGTTGATCACGTAACCGCGGGAATAAGGGATAAAGCGTACAAACGTCATTGCCTCGGGCCCCGTTTCCATGGTTACCGTGAACTCAATATCCGCGATGCCTGGGGGTAGTATGGGCCGCGGGCTGTCATCCCTCAAACCCGCCGAGCAGAGAGAGCCCAACATTCTGCTTCGACCCTCTTTCCCAACTCTCTCTCTCTCTCTCTCTCTCCCTCCTTTTCTCTCTCTCTCTCTCTCTCTTTCCATTTCTGATTCTCTCTTTCCATCTACACTTCTATTTTCCTTCTCCCTTTATCTTTTTATCCATTCTACCTTATTGTTTCCGTCACTTTCTTCACAACCCTCTCTTTTTTTTTCTACAACTCTTCCCTTTCTCCTCTCGACTATTCTCTACTCAGTATCTTTCCCTCCCTCTTTCTCCTTCCTGTAATCTTGTTTCTCTTTTCACCCGTCAAAAACTTTACTTTTCGCATCTCCTTCCACGATTCCTTCTGCCTTCGTAACCACCCTTCCCTTTTCTCTATCTGTCGATTGTCCACTTTTCTTCTCACGTTTGTCCTATCTTTCTCTATTGTTCATTTCTGAACCCCCTCCCTCTCTCTCTCTCTCTCTCTCTCTCTCTTCATGCTACCCATTGCACATTTTACCACCCGCCCCGACGTTTCTCGTCTTTGTCGAGCAGCGGCTTGATTATATTCCATTTCTGGATCGCCCTGGGGCCACCTCAGTCCCAGGTCCTTCAATACACGACACGAGGCGAAGTAGCCTTTGGCGTCAACATGGAAGACGAGCTTGAAATTCGAGGATACAGCCAGGACGCAACATTACGATTGTCTGCATGGACACCGAACGAGGGATATTTTTCACGATACCAATCCTCTCTGCTAACCACGATGACCGCAATCCCACGAAATCGTGATATACGTATTTTTAATCTCGGAATAATAACTCGTGTTATTCCGAGCTATTCCTCTTTTGTTCTCTTACATTTTATTTGTTTATCTTCCGTATGTACGTATAATACCTTTATTTCTTAATATCGTTTTAATATTGTATATTAAATTTTGTGTGTCTAAAGAATGAAAGTTATTAAGATAGTTAAACAGATTTATAAATTCCAGGAGTTTGGTTTCGACAATTGATAGAAACTATGATCGCAATAATTGTTTAATTTTAATAAATGGTTGATTATTTGGCAGTTTCATTAAGTAACATTCTTGTATGGAACGTTGCCTGAAATGAGAGTACAAACGATGCACAATTTAATAATT